ATCACATATGCTATAATTCAAGACAACTTAAGGTGTTTATGTGTGACCCATCAGGCCCAACACATCCACTAACATAAACGAGCTTAGGCCCATTGGACAATTCATCTAATGACAACAAAAAAGCACTAGCAATTAGGGGTGGTAAACGAGCCAGGGATCTTTCAGGGGCCTTTGACTCGGCTCGTAAAGGCCTGAGCTCATTTAATAAAAGCTCGTGTTGGAACCAGGCTTGGACTTGTATAAAAGCTCGTTTAATAAAAAGGCCTCAGACTCTAATTCAGAAGCTCGGCCTTAGAGCCTCCCAGGCTAGCCTAGTATATAAATATTTATTTAACTTTTTATACTACTTGTAATAACTCTCTCTCATCAGTTTATTTCACCCCATTTTATTGGTTTAACAGACTTTTTGAATGATTTTGTTCTATATTATGCTATTTGGATATATATTGAATTTATATATATTTATGGAATTACTAGTGTTGTTCTATATTATCCTTCATCCTCCTTCACACAAACAAACCCACAAAAACTCATTCGTTCCACTGTGCACTGCTCGTTTGTGTCAATTTATTTCTTATTTTATTTATTTTATTTTTATTTTTGTTGGCACTTTTTTTATAATGGGCTAAGATAATATAACCTGTTATCTACCTTTTCTCACTTTAATTTTTATTTATTTATTGTAGACTTTGTAAATTCTTGCTGCAAATTGGAAGCTAAGGTTTCTATCTGGAAATTGATTTTTTGTGGAATTCTGTTCTCTTATTTTTATTCTTTAACATGCTAACAGGCTAAGACAGGCTTCACACAGGCTTTTATTTTTTGTAAATAAACCAGGCCACAGGCCAATATTATATTCGTAACAGGTAACAGGCTAAGGCCAGTCGGACACGTTTAAATATCGGCTCGGCCCGTTAAGATCAAAGCTCGGCTCGGCTCGGCCCATTAACACCCCTACTAGCAATGCTTTGTTATCCAGAGCCAATCGAGCTCATCGAATGATCAATCTGTAACAGCCCCAAACCCTGTAGCAGGATATTGTCCGCTTTGCCCCGCGCACAAGCACCGTCGAGCTCACGGTTTTACGTTTCGGGTTACCCCAAAAGGCCTCATACAAGGAAAGGTATCCACACCCTTATTTAAGGCATGTTTCGTTCCCCTCTCCAACCGATGTGGGACATTACATCCTCCCCCACTGGGGAATACAGCGTCCCCGTTGTACACACCGGTCCAGGGCCAGGCTCTGATACCATATGTAACAGCCCCAAACCCTGTAGCAGGATATTGTCCGCTTTGCCCCGCGCACAAGCACCGTCGAGCTCACGGTTTTACGTTTCGGGTTACCCCAAAAGGCCTCCTACAAGGAAAGGTATCCACACCCTTATTTAAGGCATGCTTCGTTCCCCTCTCCAACCGATGTGGGACATTACAAATCTGTTATACTTATTTGGTTACCGTGTGTACCTGTCCTTTCATCTCAGTTCTCCATCCCATTGACCTAGGGCTAGGAAATGTATCAACTCCTGTGGTCCAGGGATACCTTTTGTCGAAACAGGGAATCTTCATTTACGAACAGTAAAGGGCAGGTCATCTCATGACTCATATACTATGGATAGATTCTCGAGTCCCGTAAATGTCATCCTGGTTTCACTAGTCTACGGATAACCTAATCTCTCACAGAGATTGACAAATCTCTTCAGGTTGTCACACTAGACTTGAGTCCTTAGAGCATGCCCAAGAGTATACCTACGTGTATCTATGTTTCAGGTAGACAAGGTATACAATCAAAGCAAGCTTTCTAGATCACGGGTCAGTGTGACAACGTCAGGTCTAAGGAAAAACATACTCAAATACTAAGAGACATTACATATTAATACTAACTGTGAGATTTCCCTGTAGTGTCTCTTGCTGGGGCAGTTCAATGAGAGCTATTCTCCAATAGGTCCACCCATGAGTCAGCTAAGTCATCTTCATGTCTGTAGCTCACGAGGACTCTACCTTGCATCTCCGTGCAAGTAACTGAGTCGTGCTAGTCTTACCCGAGATCACCAATGCCTATTCTCGGTGTCTCTAGACTGGAACATATTTATTGTAATGGACATGTGATGTCATTAAGCCCTCATTATCGTAATCCCTATCATAGATCCTAAATGTGATAGATGTTCCATTCCATGGGCTTTATCCAGTTACACATATTCAATATATCTAATATTTGAGACAGGAAATATGAAACAAAATAAAGAATGCTTTTATTCATTAGTTTATTCATAACAATAAAGAAGTACATGAGTCCATTCGACTCTCAGGTTGTCTCTAGGACACCTATATATTAACAATCTCCCACTTGGCCTAGAGCCAATAGGAACAAAGTCTCATTCCTAAAGCCTCATGATGATTATCATGTTTTCTCTGAGAAACTCCTTTTGTCAAAGGGTCAGCTAGGTTATCATCTGTGGAAACATAGTCCATCTTTATATCCATCTTATAAATGATTTCTCTAATGAGGTGATATAACACCTCGTATTTCGTAAACGTATAATTATATTTGGAAATGTGGATTAAAGGGTAAGATTAGTGAAAATCCTGAAATTAGGGTTCAAATACATAAAAAGGATAAAATGGTAATTTACCAAACACGTAACCCTAGGAAAGGAAATTTGAATAGGAGGTCTCAAATGGAAAAAATAACACTGGAAATGGATTCAAAATGAAAAATTAAGTGGATAGGCAAGTTTCTGGAAAATTGATGAATAGTGATTTTACCAGTGTAAAAATACTGCGGTATAATTGTACCGATAAGTGCGAAAGTATGATCAGTATTTCTAGAAAATAAAAATATGAAGTGAACGAGAAAAATATGTAGGTTATGAATTTGTGGGTTAAAATGGATGATTTAAGAAAGTTAAATGACGTGTGAGACCCACTTAATTTTTTTTAAAAGTATATACAGTTTCTTTCAAAGCCTTTTCAAATTAAAATTAACCAACACACAAATATTTTCTACATAACGACATAGCTTTGAATTCTCTGTTGCACCGAGGGATACGTTGGAGCGTAATTTTTCCTATCTAGCCCAATAATAAATTTTCATGATTTAGTTTTTTTTTAAATAGAAAATTCTATTTAATTTAATTCTTTAGGCGAGGTAAATATTTTGACTTTTTTTTAATAATTTTCCTAATTAACTTAAGGTAACTGTTCTTTTTTAATGAACGGTGTAGGGTGCTAACACATTCTGTACTCGTAATCGACTTCCAAATCAATTTCTAATTTCAAAGACTAGCTTTCTTAAACAAAAATGGTTTTTTTCAATGTTTTTCCAAATAAACTTTGATGGCGAATTCAATGTTTTTAATTTTTATTTTTTAGCCAACACATTGCAATTTGGTTGCGAAATTAGTATATAAATGTGTTTATTGATATATTCATTTTTATTTTTGAATATATTGATAAATAAGTATTTCTTATTTTTCCAAGAAATTTATTTATTTTTTAAATATATTTGTGTTTCTTGAAATTTCATAGTAATATAGAGACCTGCAACTATATATCTGTTATAGTAATTTCAATTGGAAAATGGGCTTATATAAGTTAATTTACCAAATTAATTGCTTATAGTTTGAGTTTTAATGTAACTTGTGTTATGGACCAGAGAAAAGCCCACAGCAATATGAAGCCCAACCAACTTCAGCCCAAAGGTAAGTCCTATAAATAAGGCTAAAGACCACAGGTATGACGGATCTCTCAAACCCTATTTCATTCAAGACACGATAGTGCACACACACACCCCTTTTGGCTAAAGCCATCATATAGTGTGTAGTGATCAGCTGTCCCCAAGATACCTAATTCATAGGTATCTAGAGAGAAAGCTCTAGATCCAACATCAAAGACCCGATCTTCTGTCGGACATATCTGCTTCGGGAAGAACATTGGCGCCGTCTGTGGGAAACGAACCCACGACCACGTGATCAAAAGCCACGATGGTAAGAGCAACAAGAAGTGAATTTCGACAACCGTCGAGATCGAATTCCAGAATCCAGCCTATTTCTCCAATCAGGGAGAATCCTTTGGATGGACGGCAGATAGATGCCGACGCCGTACACGTGAGTGATGTGCATTTCGATTCGGCATCGACTCCAGCTATTAACCAAGATGCTCCTTATGTGCACGGTTTACAGCCAATGGAGGAACAAATAGCAGATACTGCACAAGCACCGATTGGTGCAATTGCTGATTCGCGGGTAACAGATCTGGCAGTTGCCACGGTGCTTCAGAGAATGCAAGAGATGGAGAGGAGACACGGGCTGGAAAGGGAGGAAGCTGCTAGACAAATGCAAGAGCTGGAGGCCCGAGTGGGTCGAGCTACCAACCCGAACCCGGAGTAGGCAATAACACGGGTTATGAATGACCTACGGATTGCAGGCACCCAGGCGAACCCTAATGGGGCTCAGGCCCAGGGAAGAGGGGTTGGAAACGTCGGAAGTCGGCCTCAAAGAAGCACCCCCAATGTGGTCCATAATCAAGGACCCAAAGTTCTCAATAGGAACGGGGGACAAGAGAGACCGAACCTGAACCCGAACTCGAACGATGTATCCGGGGTCTACAGGAGGAAGTATCATAGGGGGCAATATAATGACAGCCACTTCGCGGACGAAATTGTGAATGCACCATATCCAGAAAACCTAAATCTGTCTAAAATTCCAAAATATGACGGAACGCAAGACCCTTAGGTGCATTTGGGTGCCTTTGATACGGCAATGTATATTAAGGGGATCGAAGAACCACTGATAACTCGGTTATTTGCAACCACCCTGACAGGAGCAGCCCATGCGTGGTTTTCCTCCCTGCCAGCAGGATCCATCAGGTCATTTGAAAAGTTCGGAGGCAGGTTCTTGCTAAACTTTGCTACAAGCAAAAAATAGCCAAAATCTGAATTCGCGCTAGGGAAAATAAAGCAGCAGCCCGGTGAAACCCTACAGAAATATCTGGACCGTTTCAAGATGGCCGCGTTACAAGTTCCTGGGCTATCTGAAAATGTTCACCTTCATTTGGTGATTGCCAGCCTTCACGGATCTTCCAAGTTGGCCAAGTCCGTCTACAAAGATCCTATACGAACTCTAGTTGAGTTCACTACTCGTTCCAAAAAATACTTGGAGCTCGAACAGATGGAAGTGGAAGACACGGACCCAAGGCCGCACCAAAGCCAGGTAGAAAAACCTGGAAACCGAAGGCAAAATGATTTCCGGGGTAAAAAACCCGAAGAGAAAAATTTATCCAAAATAAGATTTGACAGGTATACGCCTTTAAATTCCTCTCGATCCCAAATCTGGAGGGAAGTGGCATCCACCGAGATGAAAAGGGTGGATAGACCTCGGCCACTACTGAATCAAGCTGGGCTTGATCACTCACGATATTGCGTGTTCCATGATGGTCCTGGCCATACAACCGACGAGTGTTGGGATCTCAGAGATGCAATCGAAAGATATATCAGGGAGGGAAAATTACGTCAGTATCTCAACCGAACTCAAGGATGGAAGAACAATAAGAAGAGGAAAGGAGGATGGCCGATGAGCCCAAACAGAGAGAAGAGGAAAGGAGGATGGCCGATGAGCCCAAACAGAGAGAAGAGGTTCAAGGATGAATTCCGAGGTAAGAAGTCGGCCAAAGAAGACGATGAATTTGTGGAGCCCGAGTTCGAGTGCAATGTTATTAGTGGAGGATTTGGTGGTGGAGGTGATACGATGAACGCCAGAAGAAAATACTTAAGAGAGGTGCTTTCGATTCGAGAGCGGCCTAAGTTTAAGTTAGAAGAGCCAGAGGAACCACGATTGTTCTTTACAAAAGCAGAGTTGGAAGATGGCATGCCGGGACATGTTGACGGGTTAGACATCACTGGGACACTAGTTAATTGTAAAGTCAACAAAATGTTCGTGGATAACGGCAGTTGTGCCGACATAATTCTATGGCAGGCATTCCAGAAAATGAACTTGGATGTAGAGGATTTGAGGCCCTGCAACACGGCTCTGATGGCTTTTAATGGTTGCGACACCATTTCGAAGGGGTATATTGATCTGAGACTCACCATGGGAACAAAAGAGGCTTACAAGTCAGAAAGAGTAAGATTCATTGTCGCCGACTTCCCATCGGAGTATAACGTAATTTTGGGAAGACCAACAATTCACGGTTGGGATATGCTGGTCTCCACTAAGCATCAGAAGATTAAAATGATAGGTAAGCAGAATACGGTTATTACCATTCAGGGGGATCAAAAAGAATCACGGGACTGTTATTTTAAGTCAGTCAAAACAATAAGCAGCAAACACAAGGAATCAGCCGGTTTGAACACCAGCAATAAACCGGAAACCTCCAAAAAGGTAGTTACACCGGTAAATATGGTGGAGCTGGACATGAGGGGTGAAACTCAGATTCCAAGACCGGAACCAGAGGGGGAGTTGGAGGAAGTAGTTATCGGAGAAGAAACTCAAATTGCCAAGGTCGAAAAAGGGTTGATTGATGAGGACAAAGTTCGAATTACTGAGTGCTTAAGAAGGAATGTGGATGTTTTCGCTTGGAAGTCCTCAGAGATACTTGGGGTGGACCCTCAGTTCTGCTGTCATAAGCTTGCAGTATTCCCAGGGTCCAAGCCGGTAGCCCAGAAGAAAAGGAAGCTCAGTACGGAACGTCGTCAAGTGTTAGAAGATCATGTAAATGAGTTATTGGAAGTAGGATTCATCAGAGAGATACAATATACAACCTGGCTGTCAAATGTGGTCATGGTGAAAAAGCCAAATGGGAAATGGAGGGTGTGCACAGATTATACTGACCTGAATAAGGTATGTCCCAAGGATGCATATCCCATGCCCAACATTGATCAGTTAGTGGATAACTCATCCGGGTTCCAGATGATGTCCTTCATGGATGCATATTCGGGATACAATCAGATCCCGTTGCACCCAGAAGATCAGGAAAAGACCGCTTTCATAGGAGAAAAGGCAAACTATTATTACAATGTGATGCCTTTTGGATTGAAGAATTCAGGAGCCACTTACCAAAGGATGATGAATCGGGTATTTGCTGACCAGCTTGGCAAGAACGTGGAGGTATATATAGATGACATAATAGTCAAACCAATTGATTCAGTAACGCATGTTCAAGACCTGGAGCAGACCTTTGAAAAATTACGGCAGCACAACATTCGGCTAAACCCGGCTAAATGTGCCTTTGGAGTCCTTGCAGGGAAGTTCCTAAGATTCATGCTGACCCACCGAGGTATAGAAGCCAACCCGGACAAGTGCAGAGTCGTGTTAGAAATGAAGACCCCGGGGAATAAAAAGGAAATCCAGCAGTTGACTGGGAGGTTAGCCTCTCTCACTAGGTTTTTACCTCGGTCTGCAGAAACCGCGTTACCATTTTTCAAGCTGTTGCGAAAGGAGGTGCAATATGGTTGGACTTCAAAATGTGAAGTAGCATTCCAAGAGATCAAAAAACAACTGGCATCACCACCAGTCCTATCTAGCCCCAGAGAAGGAGAACCATTGATAATGTATCTTTCAGTGGGAGATATGGTTGTTAGCTCGGTTTTGGTTCAAGAAAAGGATGAGGGGCAGCAACCAATCTACTTTGTAAGTCGGCTCTTACAAGGAGCAGAACTTCGCTACCAGAAGTTAGAAAAAGTGGCTTTCGCCCTTCTAATCTCGGCTCGAAGGCTTAGAGCGTACTTTCAAGGGCACCAGGTTGTAATTCGTTCGGACTTGCCAATACGGCAGATCTTACATAAACCTGACTTAGCAGGGAGAATGATGGCTTGGGATGTGAAGCTATCGGAGTTTGACATATCCTTTGAAAGCCGAAAAGCAATTAAGTCTCAAGCATTGGCAGACTTTGTTAGGGAGCTTACTTCAATCCAAAAGGAGAGCCCAGCAAAGCCAAACACTTGGAAAATTTATGTGGACAGGTCCTCGAACTCTAAAGGGAGTGGAGCCGGGGTAATTGTTGAGAACCCGGAAGGAATCTCGGTTGAATATTCTCTGCAGATGAAATTTGAAACATCCAACAACCAAGCGGAGTATGAAGCATTCATCGCCGGGCTGCAGCAGGCCAAAGAGCTCGGAGCAAAAAAGCTGCAAATCTTTAGTGACTCGCAATTGGTCACTTCGCAAGTCGGAGGAAGCTACCAAGCTAAAGGACCATTGCTAGCAAAATACCTAGATTCTGCAAGGCAGTTAATGGCGGAGTTCGAAGAGGTAGAAGTTCGCCACATCCCACGAAATGAAAATGGCAGGGCCGACATATTGTTGAAGCTGGAAAGTACCAAAGGATGGGGAAACCACAGGACGGTGGTGGAACAGAATATCCTGGAACCCACATGTATCATGCAGATATCTAAGAGCAGGGATTGGCGTAGCACCATTATCAATTACATAGAAAACGGAACGCTCCCATCCTAAAAGGAAGAAGCTCGAAAGTTGGTTAGGGATGCTGCATTGTATGCAATGATTGAAGGACAATTGTATAGGAAAGGAATTTATTCCCCCTACTGAAATGCCTGAGCTCGGATAGGGCAAAATATGTCCTATCCGAAATCCATGAGGGGATAAATGGCCAGCACATTGGGGGCAAAGCGCTAGCTCGGAAGGCCCTCAGAGCAGGATATTTTTGGCCCTCTATGGTTCAAGATGCAAAGGAACATGTGCAAAAGCGTGATCAGTGCCAGAAGCACAGTAAAAACCTATTGGCACCGCCAGAAGAGTTAAGCTTGATCACAGCTCCGTGGCCCTTCTTCAAGTGGGGCATGGATCTTTTGGGGCCATTTGCTGCGGCTGAGGGGCAATTAAAATGGTTGATAGTAGCTGTTGATTACTTCACCAAATGGATAGAGGTAGATCCAGTGGCTACAATTACCACTGTGAGGGTGCAACGCTTTTTCAAAAGGAATTTGATCTGCAGATTTGGGATTCCAGTCGAGGTGGTCACTGACAACGGAACCCAGTTTACAAGTAGAGCTTTTCAAGAGCTAATGAAGAATCTGCACATTCGGCATCGCTTTGCATCCGTGGAACATCCTCAGTCTAATGGCCAAGCCGAAGCGGCAAACCAGGTTATTATATCTGGGTTGCACAAAAGGATGGAGCAGTGTGCTAAGGGGAAGTGGGTTGAGGAACTATAGTACGTACTATGGGGATACAGAACCACGATTCAAACCTCCACTGGAGAGACCCCGTTCAGAATGACCTACGGAACCGAGGCCATGATCCCGGTGGAACTGGGAGAACCGTCATGGTGAAGGGCTCAAGCTTTATCGCAAACAGAAAAAGAGAATAATAGCAAGTTAGCTATGGAGTTAGATTTGATCGATGAAGCTCGGATTATAGCACATTGTAAGAATGTCGCGGCAAAGCAACTCGTTGCGAACCGATTTAATAAAAAGGTCAAGCCGCGATCATTTGATATAGGAGATCTGGTCCTTCGGAGGGCAGACATTAGAGGTCGAAATGCAGCTGAAGGGAAATTGGCCCCGAGATGGGAAGGCCCATACAAAGTCAAAGTTAAACTCTCAAAAGGAGCTTATGTTCTGGAAACTTCAAAGGGGAAGCGAGTTAAAAGGACTTGGAACGCGGACAAGTTGAAGAAGTATTTTAGTTAAAAATTTCTCATTCATAAATTTTAATTTTCCAATTCAAAGTTCAGTTAATGGAATAATCCGCAGTATTTGAAGAAATAATAGTGGTGCATAATCTTATTTCTAAGAAGAAATCTGAAGTA